GGTATGTACCACCTTGAGGTGTAGATAGGAAGACCTGTCCAGGATGGTCAGGGCAAACACTCAAGACCCTACCTGAAAAATGACTAAAGTGAAAAGGACTGGAGGCGTGGCTCCAGTGGTACAGTACCTAGCAAGCACCAGGCCATGAGTTCAAGTCCTTTGCCACCAATGTATATAAATATACATATAAATTAATATGGAACTTTAACATCTATAAAGCAAAAACAAAACAACCTGATTTTAAAGTGAGCGACGGACTTGGGTAGACATTTCTCCAAAAAGGACATACAAATGGGCCAACAGGCACAGGAAAAGGTGCTAGTTATCCAGGAAGTGCACATTGAAACCATAATTATATATCACATCACAACTTTAGGATGACTATTACAAAAAATATAAATGATGCTGGCAACATAGATTGCAACCCTTATACACTGTTGGTGAGAATGTAAAATGGTGCAGACAGTATAAAAAAGTAGCAAAATATAGAAAATAGACCTACCATATGACCAGCAATCTCACTTCTGGATATTTACCCACAAAGATGGAACTCAGCATCTCAGAGAGAGATTTGCATGAAAAAAACCTAAATGTACGTCAGGGGGTGAGTGGATAAAGAGAGTGTGGCATATCTCTTCCATGGAATACTATTCAGCCTTGAAGAAGATTCTGCCACTTATGCCAATATAGCAGAGCCTGGAGGACGCACTGCTAAGTGAAAGTCACGGAAGGAACTTGTGTGAGGAAACTAAGAACAGTTCAGCCTCAGAGGCAGAAAGTGGAAAGTGGTTGGTGCTGGAGGCTGGGGGTGGGGAGAAGAGCTGGTGTTCAATAGAGGTACAGTTTCAGTTATGCAAGATAAGTCTCAGCAACCTGTAGCTACCGATACTGTATCAGACACAAAGCCATTTATTAAGAATATAGGTCTTATAACAAGTGTTCCTGCTACAGATAGGAAAACAAAAGTATCACTGAATGTGGCCATTGAAGAACGCCCAGTGTAACGCCTGTGGTAGTTTCGATCGTCATCATTGTTGACCAGGATTCTGTTCGCTTGTGTCCTGTAATGGTGCATCACGCTGTGAGGTCATTCTTGCCTCTGGTCCAGCTGGACTTGTGCAGCGCACAGAGGGATTGTCACTACATCTTAGGCCAGAACCTGCGATGTCTTCCTCCCTACTTTGAAAGTCCCGAAGTAGATGATCCTTTGGAGTTAAGGTCCTTGTTGAAGTCATTTGCTTCCAGATAGTCACAGATCTGTTGGTACGCAGCAGATTCTTCTCGGTGGCTATCAGACAGAAGATGGGTATATTTGGGGATTAATACTAGACACGAATGAGTCACAATGGTATTCAGATTAGTGGTGGGAAGGGCGTCAGAAAAGAGAGGACCACGGTAGGAATACCCACAGTTAGCTTCTCCTGCATTTGGGGGGAGACTCCTGAGCCTGTGGCTCCAGTCAGCAGCCATTGTCCCCACCCCCACCCAGTGGCCCAGTGTGCAGTGATTGACAGCCCTGGAGGAGAAAGGTTAAGGTCTTGGAACAAAGTTTTTTGCTTTCCACCCCTCCCCCCATCTTTGTTGGTAAAAAGCTGGTCATGATGTGTAAATATCACACCTGACCTCCTTGTAGGACCGTCCTGTAATGCTGTCAATGTGGCTGCTGGGGAAGCGAATAGGCCAGTGTGAAATAGGACACGAAGTCACAGGTCGTCTGTGAGATGAGCTTTTTCATGGCTTTGCTTAAAAGTCTGTATTTTTGGAGCATGTATATGCACGTGAACGCTTTCACTTTTTTCTGTGATCTCTGAGGAAGGAAATAGAACTTTGAATTTATCACAATTCCCCGGAGTGACTTGGAGTTGAAACGTCACTGACAGCTTGTGGTCTGGGCTCTTTTTTTTCTCCACCTCCAGTCAGACACGACTGGAAGTCACGAAGCAAGCAGGAGAAAATGTTGTCAAGGAGGAAGCGACCCCCAGGAAGAAGCCAGCAGGTGGCAGGAGGACCCAGGGGCTCAGGTGGGGTGGCCATGGCTGTCTCACATTCGAGAAGTCTCCTCAGATGTCCTTAACACCCTGAAGTCAAAACGGAGGAGGAACAAGAAGAAAAGAGGAACCGTGATGTTCAGTCCCCAGTGACTGGCAGCAGGAGAGGAAGTCAAGGAGGCGTTAGGAGGCGGTGTCAACAGCTTGCTGTGAAAGAGGCCACTTTGCAGAACCAAGGACTCAGCCGATCAGGATGTGGCTCTAGTGGAAAGAGCTGGGCACCGAGGCCTGAGCACCCAGAAATGCAGAAGTCAATGTTGGCCTTATCACTTCCCTGAGAAGGACAACACGTGGGCAGTCTCCCGGCCTGATAAGTCAGACAGCGAGTTCATTTGCTCGTTTGCCTGGCCTCACTGCTCAACACACTTTTCACCGTGTGGATCCAAGTGCTGGGGGGACCCCACAACCCACTGTGCGGGTGGACGAGCCAGCCTTTCCTACCCGAGTAAGAGGAAGTGACTTCAGTGTCGGCCAGCACCTGCCAGGGGCCTGCGCTGGGGACCACAGGGCTGCAGAGTAAGTACAGACCCTCGTGATGTCCCTGCTCTCTGTGACAGCTGCCCTACTGCAGTTCTAAGTGTGTGACACTGGCAGGTTGGAGAAGACAGTGTCATGGGCGTCCAGAGAGCCTGCCATCCTCGGTCATGGAGTTGACCTTAACCTTCCCTTTGTCCCAAGCTGCACTGCTGCACAGCTGTGTCTTCTATGTTAAACTCCTCAAATCTCCAAGAGGAGACAAGGAGAAAAATCCTGTGCATATGGGGTATTTGAACTTGGAGATGGTCTACAGCTCTTACTGTGACTTTGTTGGCTGATTTTTGCTCCCCTTAAGGAAGAAAGTCCTCACCCTTCTGTTTTCTTTAAAGTGCAGGACTGGGCAGAACAATTATGAATTCAGTGTGTGTCACTGTTAAACGAGTGAAAAGTGTTTTAAGTTTTTCCTGTCTCTTACACATACATTTTACATGTTCTGATAGGACTATTTATCATTTTTCTGTCTCTTAAGTGCATAAGAGTTTGTTAAGACTATGTATAAGAAGAGAAATGTCAAGTAGCTTCTAGAAAGCTGTTTGGTTTGAGTGATAAACAACTAAATATAAGCGAGATGAAAATTCTCAGCCTGGTTTGTTTCAGATTCACTGCACCTTTCTACCTTGTCTGTGGAAGCAGCCTTAAGAGTTTAGGAAACTGTCTAGCTTTAAAATACCAATTTTAAACATGTTGCTGTTATTTTTTAACTTTTACAAATGTGCCAGGTTTCAATATTTCCAAGTGCTGTTTTATTTTGATTTTCTCCATCAGCAAGGCAATGCATGCTTTTGGTCTCAGACTCTATGTCTTATTTTTTTATTTCTGAGGACATTGAAGGCGCTTCCCTTGTGATTAAAACCGTTTATGTTGAGACACGAATGATAAACCAAGTTCTGAGTTTGGTTTTACACATGTCTGCTTTAGACACAACTCGGGGGACTAATCTTATGTCAGTTGTATCAATCTTTTGATTAAATCAGAATTATACCCCATAGTTTTATAAGCTGCTAAGAATTTGTCTCTCTTCCCTCCATGGTCCCTTGTCACATCTTCATGGGAATGTCAACTTCTGTGACTTATCCCAAGGTGAACACACTTGCTTTCATCTTTCCTCTTTATCTTTGGGGAATAATTGCTTCAACTATTATTACAAGTGACACTTAAAAACTACCATGGGTGGAATGCATGGATTTTTTTTCTGCCTGGATGACACAGGGTGACACTTGCTTCTGTTCTGAGCTACCCAGAGTTGCATGATTTAGGAAATCCTTTACTTGTTTGAGACTTTTCCTACCTCAGTGAGGCACAGGCATCAAGATTTCACCTAGTTTTTTGTGATGTTCTGTGGAGCAGATATTCCAGACAGCCTGGGCCAGCCACAAGCTAGGCCAGGTGTCACACAAACACGTCCATAAACAATGTGTCACTACCGCTGCCCCCTCCATGCTACTTCTGTTCTGAGTCAGACATTTGAATTCTGAGTCAGAAAAGAACAAATATTTCATTTCCCCCAAACTCTTCTGAAGGTCTCTGGCTGCTTTAATAAATGACAAAGAGCTTTTGGACTTCCTGATCCATCTGAGAAATTTCTTCAGCAAACTGGGTGTTGTCAGTTTGTCCAAATGTCCCCGGCCAGTGGCACCGCACTCCGTGTCTGCAGACCAGCACGAGGAAGTTGCTTATGACATTTGATTCAAAATCCTGAACCCAATGTCAGTAGAAGACCTTGCCCATGCAGTCCTCGGGAATGGACTTATTTCTGGAGGGGCTCCTGTGCACACTCGCTCCATAAAATGTACCATCCCAATGCAAAACTTCTTTTTATTCCTTTTCTTATTGGTACTGGGATTTGAACTCAGCCTCGTACTTGCTAAGCAGGCACTGTATCATATCCTCAGCCTTTAGTTTTCATTTTCTGAGATGCAGTCTTGCTACATAGTGCAGGCTGGCCTTGAACTCTCCATCCTTCTGCTACTCTGACTTCCAAGTGCTGGGATTACAGACGTCTGCCACCATACCCAGCTACAATGGCTAAATTTGTGAGTGATAACTCACATGTTTTCTTTCTTCTTCATTTGCAGATGTATCTTGTTAACATAGGCAATACTGGGCTCTCAATGGGTGGTTGCTTTGAAAGGGAGATCTAAGATGTTCTTAGATCTAGGGTATGCATATAAAATATTGGGGTGCATCTGATCTACAGGAAATGTACAATAATTGACCTCATCCAAAGTGTCACCCCTCTACTCCTTACCGTCTCTTGTTCTATCCAACATGAAATCTGGATTGACTCACATGGTACGGAGTACATGCACGTGGACTCCACAGTTATGCCAGGCTTTCCTCTGGATCTCACTGAAAACTCTTCCAGTTGGCTTTTGTCAGCATGAAGGACACGAGGCATGGGAGAGGGAAGCCTTAAGACCTTGACAAAGGGGCCATCAGAGTGGTACATATCTATAATCCCAGCCACTCAGAAGGTGGAGTTCAGAAGGAGTGCGGTTCAAAGCCAGCCTGCCAAAAAGGCCCCCATGTCGATCAATAGGCCAGACGTGGTGACTTGTGTCTGTCGTCCCAGCTGTGCAGGTTAAGCTTGAGGATGGCACCAGGCAAAAAACACAAGACACGATCTGAAAAATAATTGAAGCTAAAAAGAGCTTGGCGTGACTGAAGTGGTAGAGCACCTGCCTAGCAACATGAGGCCCTGAATCAGAAAACCCCACTACTGCCAAGTTAGAAAAGAGAGAGACTGAGGACAGAGGTAGGGTGAGAGCCACTGTCCCAAGCAGCCAGTGCTGGAGGAAATCAGCTTGAGACACCTGAGGATGGGGTGCTGGACACAGGCCAAGGAGAAGACCAAGCCAAACACAGCTGTTCAACAGCCCCAGTGGGACAGAAGTCCAAGTTCTCCAAGTGAAAACTGCAGATACAGATGAAACAATCCAGAAAGTACAGTGTAATGCTTTAACTGAATAGGATTCCAAGTTCAACCAACCCGTGTTCTGACTCACAGTCTACAAGAGAACAGTTGGGCCAATCCCTTTGCGTCCAGTGCCTCAGTCACCTCTTGAATGGAGTGCAGTTGTGTGACTTACAGATGACCTAACGAGCAGAGCACAGCTGGTGTGGGCCATAGTGGGCGTCAGTGTTCTGCTAGAGCCCACTCCTACCACAGGCATCGTCACCTCTTTAGTGATTGGGACATAGTGATGACATGTCCTACAACAGGGAAGTTCTGTTGTCTCAGTCACAGGGGATAAGATCTGGGTTGGAAGGAGCAGAGCTGTCACCTTCAAGAGCAAAGCAAAATGCCCTCAGTCCCACTGCAGAGAGACTTGCAAATATGTGTCTGTGCCTGGTGGTTTGTCCCCAGAGAAGCCCCAGTCTTGCAGAGCTGTCACAGGGCTGGAGGGACAGGGACAAGTCCTCCATCTCAGCCCCACTGCCAAGAGCTCGCCTCCACCTGCCTTCTCTCAGCACCCTTTCTGAGTAGCTCCAGCACGTCCACTCTGTCACAGGTGTGCAAATACCCGTGCGTTTCTAGTGCCCCACGCACGTGTGGGTGACCCACACTGTCTCCCCAGGGACGGATGTTAAATGGTTTTGTGTGTTAGTTCTCTAGTGGCAGTGTTGCAAGTTCTTTTCAATGCTTTTTTAATCTTAATCTTGTTGACCTTATAAACTGGGGTTTTGGTTTGTTTGTTTTTTGGCAGTGCTGGGTTTTGAACTCAGGGCCTCAAGCTTGTAGGCAGGTGTTCTACCCCTTGAGCCACAGCCCGTTCCTGCTTGTGTTAATTTTGTTCTTGTAATTTTCAAGTCTTTTAGTCATGTATAATGTATCATAAAATGATCAGAGCTTAAGTGTACTGTTCACTCTGCTACATAAATGCACAGAATTCCCTCCAGAAAGCTCCCTTGAGCCACTTCCCAGTTGGTGCCTCACCCCCACCCTGGGAGCAAGCATGGGCCTGGTTAGAAGTCTAGAATTGGCTCTGTGCCCTAGTGCTGCTCCTGTGTGTCTGTCTTCTGGCCTTCTCCCCTTCAGCGTAATGCTTTTGCCATGGATCTGTGTTACGTTTGCCAGTAGTGTCGTCTCTTTGAGTTGTGTTTCTTTGTATGAGTGTTCCACAATTTGATTATCTTTGCTCCTATGGGAGATCAGAAGCATTTTCCATTTTCAGTTGAATGGATCAAGCCGCTATGAACACCTGTGTGTGGACAAGTGCTCCTATTTTACCTACAATAAACCCCTAGGAAAGGAATTGTTCATCTGGTCATAGATATTTACAAAGCAAAGCTACCAGATGCTTTCTGGGTGGTCAGCATCAACCTCTCCAGGCACTGTCAGGAGTCCCAGTTACACAGCTCCAGCAGGTGGAGGGTGAGCCACTTTCATTTTAGCCACACTAGCAGGATTCACGGGTTTTAGCTTTTAGATGGCTAACGTTGGAGCATTTACTCAGGTGCTAATTGGGCATCGTGTATTTTCTTTGTGAAAGCTCTAAGTGTTTAACCTATTTTTAAATTAGGTCTATTATTAGAGGTATATATCTTCTGGGTTTTTAAAATGACATTGGGGTTTGAACTCAGGGTTTCACACTTGCAAAGCAGGTGCTCACTACTTCAGCCGCACCTCTGGTCTATTTTGCTCTGGTGATTTTGGAGATGGAGTCTTGAGACCTATTTGTCTGGGCTGGCCTCAACCTGCCATCCTCCTGATCTCGACCTCCCAAGTAGCTCAGATTACAGGCCTGAGCCACTGACACCCAGCTAGATGTATACATCTTTAACATATATATGGGAATATTTTCTCTTAGTCTGTTAATGAATTCTGATATTTTTAATGCTAGTTTTACACAGGGTGAGCTTTTTCAGTTACTCACATGGTGTGTGGCAAAGGTCCATGCTCCACACATCAGTCTTCCGGTTACGGCATCCCTGCAGTTCTCCTGACGTTATGGTTTTGGTTTTCAACAGCCCCTTAT